TTGCCTAGGCGGCGGTAAGAGTTGAGCCAATTTCCGATCGGCATTTGCTGGAAGACGCTGATGTTGCTTCCGTATGTAGTAGAAGTTTAAAGGAATGTGTGGGGGCCGCTCGGGCATCCCACACTTATATTTTTGAAGGTCCTCTCCCGAGATACATCATCGGGGAGGGACCGTTCGGCCTCTGAGGGAACAAGGGAATTAATGAGAGATTCTGAAGACTGGGAGGAAGAATTGGCAGCCTGACCACTTGGGCCGGCCTTTCCCCTTTAAGAACGCCGAATTAGAACCATGTCTTCCTCGTCTGAAGAAAAATAACTAGACATAAATGAAGGGAAAAGGAGGTTGGAAATACCTCACAAAAGAGATGCCTGGAGGATTTCTAGAGAGAGAAAGCTAGCAACAACGCAATGATTAAGGAAGCAGCAGAAAAGGAGGAGGCTCCAGCTTCACCATATTTATAGAAGGACCACCGTCCTGGAAACAAACCCAGGAGGGACACGTGAAGAAAGCTTAATGGACTATCTCGTAGGTCGCAGAAACCTGCCGAATGACCAAACGGATGATTCATCTGGATAATTCCGAACGACATGAGGACCAGAAAGAGATAGGAACGACCAAACGGATGATTCATCGAATACATGGCGAACAATAACGAAATGGAATTCTTGAGGAAGTTCGAAGATCTAGAATCGGAAAATCTCAGGGCTTGCTTGATGTGGCATGGAGAAGTTCCTATTCAGGTGATGGTGAAAGAAGACAAAGAGATGATGATTTGTCCCCCTCCTGAATCGCTGCCATGAAGGAACTGTGCGTTTAGGGTTTGAAAGACTATTTTACTATTTCTAGTTTGTTATTTTCAGTTCAGACTGTTTTACTGTTTCTTTTTTGTTAATTCCGTTACAAACAATAAGGGGGTAGGTTGGTGTTTTGGCTTGTTTTAGTTGATAGATTTCTGTTTGGAGGCAATCAGGCTGATTCAACTACTAATAGCCTTTATATTGTCCCTGTTTCAGCGATTAGTCGCTCTTTTCCGGAGTGAACTATTCTATGTCTGATCATGACGTGAGGAGACCGACAAGCTTTTGGAATTAGTTGGATAGAGGGAGGTCGAGATTTTGGGGTATGGTTGTTGCTACATTTTGGTTGATTCTAGTATAGGCTATTTCTTTCCAAAAAAAAAATTTCTTTTAAGAAAACATTAAAAGCTAACAATCATCAAACGACTCATAATTAGCAATAAGTAGCTCATAGTTAATTACTCCATTCATTCGACTAGAACGGGCTCGTAAAATTATTTTTCACGAACGAAAGGGTAACACCTCATCCCTGAGGGATCCTCAGCACTGGTCGGACAATTAAGTGAGATAATGTAAATTAGACTTTAATTGCAAGCTAACTGATAGTTAGTGAGGCTCTGCTTAGGTCATTGCAGAGAGCCTGTGCATTTTTACATAATAACATCCCATTGAGTTGTCTGGATTCGAACTCGAAACATGTCGTTGTGGCATTCCCTATCTACCAGTTGAGCTATGCCCCGATGGAAGCGTGACGACATTTTTCTCAGATGGAAGCGGGGACGCTTGCCCCAATGCTCCTAAGTCCTCCACTGAACTTATGCCTACCAATCACTTCTTTGTAAGTTTCATACTCAAGCTCCCAAAGAGTTAATTTATTAAAATATTTACTAAGCGCTTTTCTCGGGGAAATATGTTATTGATTGTTTGATTTTGATGAAGAAAAATGCGAATTGTTTGGTTTTCTTGAGGGAAGAATGTGGAAGATTATCTTTCTACACTTGTGCTAGGGGAAACTATAAGAATATTTAATACATTTTGGAACAATTTCATGGTAAAATGCTATTATATTGAGAGATAATGAGATTATTTGAAAATGGATAATCATTTGTTATGCGTTGTCAACTTTTTACTATGAACAAATTCTATGTCAAGATCTTGAGAGTAAACCCTCCATTTGGGATTAAAATTATTTGCTAAATGACCAACAACAATTTGTTTAGATAAACACAACTAATTCTAACAATTTAAATGTTTAAAGACAACATTATATCTTCATTGAAATTTAATAATAAGAAAACTTTGCACAATGAAAAAACTAGTTAACATAATTATAGACCAACACACTAATATAAAAAACTTATTCGGAAATCGAAAACACAAAAACATAATCAAGTACAACTATAAAAAGAAAAAATAGGCCGGTTTTAACGGCTTGACGATGGTGGCGACCGGTAATGCTTAAAACTAATGTTTGCTTATAACCCTCTTTTTGGGTACACCATTTGTAGACCCTCTTACTAATTGTCATAATTCTTATGAATTGCCTTGGTTTACCCACAACAATAGGAGAGTGTACAAATGGTGTACCTGAAAAGGATATACCAAGTATAGTCAGCATGGACGTATGCTACATCAAAAGTGTTCATGTGAACACCCAAAATTTTTAACTAATAGTGTGAAAATACATTTATATGAGTGCTAGTGTAAAAATTTATATATGTACATGAATACTCAAAAAAAAATTGAACCTTCACAATTAATGTACAAGATCTGCCACTGAGTGTAGTTATGCCATAAATTTAATTTTAAAATATCATTTTTATAAAAGATATTATTCTTTGAATTTAATAAAGTTTGGTGATCGACGTTTGGCGCCGCAAAGGCACTTCACGTCAGAGAATGTGATGAATAAGGAGTAGGGTATGAAAGAAGATGCAGTTCTGTCGGTCCGTCCCCTCCTAAACTGCAGCCGTAGAGGGATCGTCTCGCTAGGGTTTGCAAGACGATATTTCAAGCTTGGATTTGGCCAAACGCGATTTATTGCTTTATATTTCTTTCCAGCTTTAGTTATGTTTTTTTAGACTTTTACTCTGTTTTAAGTTTGTTTGTGTTAGAGGCTTTAGACTTCTTACTCTGTTTTAGGTTTGTCTGTGTCAGAGGCTTTCTTGAGATGCTTATGACTGTTATTTGCCTCGAAACTTTCGTATGTTCAGCAAAAAGTTTGGCTGAGAGTACGGTGACTTTAAGGGTCACGAATACTCTGTTGTCCTATTGGTAGTCACCGATTCGCACTGTTTCTTTGGATGTGGTTGTGTCAAAATCTAATCGTAGGACTTTTCTTGAGCCAGGATTGAGTCTGTTACAAACAAGTTGGATTTTATGTTATTGGCTCGTTGTGACTGAAAACCCTTGGTTACATTAATATAAGTTGGTGTTGTTCCTTTTTTAAAAAAGGTAATAACATTTTTGTGATCACGAAACTCCAAATGATCTATTTACCTGATATAAATCCTCTCTATTTTAGGATGTTTTTACTTGAACTGAAATTTTCTGATCTGATCTGGTGTGAACCGGTGTGATACATATCTGATTTCTGTGTATTTTATAAAAGAAATTGTCTCAAATAGGACCATAACTTATCTTATAGACCTAAATAGGACTTAAATGATTTTTATACTTAAATAGGACTATATTTTGTCGTGTGTTCCACTTTTACCCTTAATGTATTATTTCCGTTCTCTTCTCTATCGGCAAACCCCGCCCTATTTTTCTTTCATATATTTGTGCACTTGCACCTTCCAGAGCATGCAGCAGGTTATCAGTATATTTCTTCAAAATGTGATCAATCTCAGATATCAAGGTTGAATCAAATCTATTCTCATTCTTCTCTACAGTGACTTTCATATCTGAATAAAGTATGTTAACATTATCATATATTTTTTACTCTTTTTTTTGTTTCACACAATGATTATTAATTTTTAAACAACAAATTCATTATATTATCAATTATGTCACTCTTTGAGAGTATCACAAAGAGCACCAGTAATAAAAGAGAACTAACCAACTTAAAAATTAATTATTGGTCAAAAAGAAACTAAAAAATTAATTAATATACAAATTAAACAAACACAATAAATTAAAACATTAACAATTTGAAAAGGAAATTAAATAAAACCAAAAGGAAGAAGAAACACTAACTGCAAGAAGTTTGACATAATCAAAATCGACAGCAAGAAGTTTGAAAAGGAATCAACTAGCAAAACTGATGGGAACAAAAGTCTAATCGGCGAAAACTGAAAGATCGGTGGAAGGGAGACCGGCGAAAGAAAGAAGAAGAACAGAGTTCGGCAACTGGTTCGACAAAGACCAGCAGCAGGCCACTCCGGAGACGAGTTGCGACTGACCGGCAGTGAAAACCACGCGTCTTGAATGACACCGACGAGCAAAATTACTCCAGGTGTTCTCCGAAGGCCTTCCTCCACAGTTATGGAGAACATGGGGTGTTTATGCGTTCGCATATGTTGTACGAGTATCCAAGGGTAATTTTGTCCCTTCCTCCAAAATTAGTCATATTTAGAGTTTAAAAAGTTCTGAGTCTTATTTAAATACACGACACTTCTTTTTGTCTTATTCAAGTCCTTCTTCCATTTTATAATTATCCAAGTCTGATCTGGTCTTATCTGGCCTGATCTAGTCTAGTTTGGATTGAGAGTGAAAATAATCAAAGTAAAAACATCCCCAATAATAGAGATTCATTAAGTGAGGGAGAGAAGAAAAGGGGAGGTGGGATATGCTAACGACAAAATAGGGAGAAAACATTAGAGAAAATGGAGGCAGTGAAATAGAGAGGAACACAACCCATATGCTCATTTGCCTGTTATGCTTTCTTATATCCACAAAATTTGCACAATGTTGTAGAAACATTTTTTGTGAGAACTTTTACCTAAACTTTGTAAAGAAAAATGGTATTCTTAAAATGCCTACATAAAACTTAGAATGTTTTCACATAAATTAATCTTCTCGAGTCTAATTTAGACTACTTTGTTAAAATCTGACCTGTTGACCAATCTAAACTGGTTTTATAAAGTTCAATATTATGTCTATTTTAGTATTGCATAAATCTAGTTTAATTTAGTTTGTTACTCTGTTTAAATCCAATCTTATGTTTTTATGTCTGATAATGTCTAATATGGTGTGGTATCCAAAAAAAACATCCTTCAACGTTATTGAGAATTGAAAAAGTAAATTAAAAACACAAAAAAATGACGTGAACATTTTGAGACTTCTATAAAATAAATACAATTACGACGAACTGTTGGATTTAACCATTATAGTCTCGAATAAAAATTATAACGTAGTAAATCATATGGGCTCACTCAATCCAAACCAACGATATTCTAACTCATTATTACTACTGTAATACTTGAGTGTGATTCTGAAGAGAAACGTCTCTTGATAGAATTGATCAAAATAGCAATGAGCACTCCAAACTTGTGTACACGGGCATGAACGGGGAGAGAAAATCACCGGCCAAACCAGCCTCGTGGTGGCTGGACATCCCCATCATTCATTAACTTGTCCAAAACCACATTCAAGTCCACTGCCTGGCCATTATCTGTCAACTTTCTGACTGTTTCCCTCACCTGGTCTCTCGGAAATCCCATGAGTGTCACTTTGTCCACTACATCGTCAACGGGAACCCTATTTCCAGACCCAGTAGAACCTGCACTGGCAACAATAGGAGATGCAGTAGGAGGTGCTTGAGGCAATATCTTTGCTGTTGGAAGTTGGGTATAGCCACTTCCACCACTCTGGTGATTCATGGTCATCGGAAGTTGTGATTTGCTGGGTGACCCACTTCCATACTGGGAAAATGAGCTACTATGTAGATAAGGTTCACCAGGTACAGATGACGGACCATACCCACCAGAAAATCCTGGACCAGGCCGGATGGATGGTATCTCATATATGTTGTTAGGAGGAGCTCCATAGAACTGCTGTGACAAAGCTCCACCAGATGGCATAGAAGGAGTTTTGTGGATATTTGGTGGATAACCCTGATGTGGTGGTATAAATGATGCTTCTTCAGTGTGATGCCCTAATGAGGGTTGAGGTTTAAGTTGAGGTGACTGAGATGGATTGGCAGAAGGAAAGGCAGAGTTTGATTGAGGAGGCTGAGAGTACTGAAGTTGAGGTGTTGACTGATACTGTGGTGGTGGTGGAGGGGGAGATGGCTGGATCTGCTGAGATAAAGGCATCTGATATATCTGGCTAGGAATTTCAGGTGTTAGGCCAGGTGCAGGAGTATAAGATTCTCGAGGAGGAACTGAAGAAATTTGATTCAACTGATATTGTTGGTTTGGAATCTGTGCCTGAGATGGCAGATTCTGTTGTGGATGATGATGGGGTGGAGGAAAGGATTGTGATGGAAGGTGTGCAAGAGCAGAAGGAAAAGCTGGTTGTTGATGATGAGAGTGTTGTGGAGCAGATGCGGCCTGCAAAGAATCACTGGGATGAGTGCCATGGTCCTCTACCACCTGCTGCTCAACCTCAAGCTTTGCAATCTGCATCTTTGCTTCTACTATATCTTGTTTATCTCTGATCGCTTTAACTTCAGTATGCACCTGTAATCAATTATTAATTCTCAAACTCCGAGGTAGATCTATCTACAAATTCAAAAACAGTTGACCATATAATAAACCGACCCTTCTTCAATGGACAAAAGCAAAAAAGTTCAAGTGAGGGGGGGGGGGGGGGGGGGGTCTGTGTAGGTGAATGTGTGTGTGTCTGTGAATGCTTATCGACTGTACCTCTCTCACAAGATTTTCTAGGTGTCTTAATTTTCCATCAGTGCTCCCAAAATAGTCGCCAACAGCCAATTTTAGATCATCCATAGAACTTTCAATCCGTCGTGATCTTGTTTCTAATTGTGATATTTGTGCACTTGCACCTTCCAGAGCATGCAGCAGGTTATCAGTATATTTCTTCAAAATGTGATCAATCTCAGATATCAAGGTTGAATCAAATCTATTCTCATTCTTCTCTACAATGACTTTAACAGATTCCATGGGTTCGTGAGGTCCATATTTCTGAGTAAAAAGAAACATATATCATCACCCCATTAATGTATAAAAACTGAGATGCAGAAAAATTAGAAAATGCTCATATCTAAAAAAGAAAGATGGTGCACCCTAGTATAGAAGGTTCATGTAGATTGAGGAAGGCAGGGAATGGGGGGAACAATTGTATCATTTGTTTAGCTCTTTTGGTACGGAGAAGCTATGAGAAGTTCATGGGTGGATGCTCAACATCCTTTCATTCTCCTCAACTACACTCAAATATCCTCCCTCCAAAATGGAGAAAAGTGAAGGGATAGGAAATTGGAAATGACACTCTCAATCAAAACTAGAATCTTTTAAGAATTATACTTCACGTACATTTCTTTTTATAATCTAAACAAGAGAAAACATAATCCTTTAGAACTCTACCTCTTCCTCTCCTTTACTAAACCTACCAATCCAAATGAAATTGATTACTTTCCTTTACTAACCTCCACTAACCTCAATCTACACCCACTGAAAAAGTCTAAAACCTATCTTTGGAGGGAGAGCACCAACTGTAAATAATGTTGAGAAGAATATATGATTCGATAATACGAGATTGTGGGCACATAATAGTATGGATCAAACTTATTATATTTAAATGGGACATCAAATGGAAGGAGGCATTTGTCACGGTTCTAATCATCACTAACACCAAAAAATACCAGCAAGCAAGTGAATCATCCATGAAAATACAAATTCATAAGCACTAATAATAAATCACAAAGTTTGACTTACAGTAGAGAAGTGACAAAAGTGGATCGATTTTGTCAGTTCATAGTTCTGAAACATATTATTGTCAGTTTGCAGTTATTGTTTTTTGTTTCAAAAGCTATTTTACTTGTCTTACTAACCTTGAAAATGTATGCAAATAAAGCAAAAGTGGAATAATGCCGCTGATATCAAACCTCTCAAGTACAAATGATTGTGAGCCATATAAAATATGACCAAATATGGTATGGACAAACATTCAAGGACATACCGAATTGGATAAACTGGGCAAACATAGTGGATGAAGGACGTATATGATATTGGTTATATAATTATCATGAACTAAAAAAGTAATTACACTTATACTAATCATACTAATTTTGAAGAATGTCAAACTGAAAATTACTTCATAGGCTTGTTTTCAGAAAACAGAAAACATTGCTGAACCAGGGATTAGGATTAAGCATTTAAGTGTCTAACCATCTGACATTAACAAGATCATTAGTTTCCATTAACAAACAATTGCGCTTCAAGTAATCAACAACAAAAAAAGCAAATCGGTAGGCAAGACAACGAATCAGGTAAACCCTAACAAGAGAGGATTCTGATTCTGCACCGACCGCATTTAATTTCCACAAGCACAGAAACTAAGAATGATGGTGAGTGAGAGAGATAATGCTTACAATAATGCTTGCTGTGCTAGTTTTAGAATCAGCGGAATTCCAAGCTTTAGGAACACTTTCATTGCTTGAATTAGCGTTAGGCAACGACTGTTGCGATGACACAACAGGGCGAATGGGATGGAATTCATAGCTCGGAACAATCTCCTCTTTCTTGGGGACAGTTGCGGTAAGATCCTGTTCGGTGTTCACGAAATCGATAAGATCAGCTTTGCTGTTCCCGGCGCTGGGCGAAGTCGATAGATCCATGATCTGCTTATCCATGAACTGCGACAAGTAAACAATTGTAAATGTTATATACAAGTAAACAACACAATTAAGTAATGAGGGAGCAAAGTATAATCAAAATAATTAGGGGCGAACCTGCAAATAAATTGGCGCCTTAGGGTTTCGATTTTTCCAATCGGAAATTGGAAGCGTTTGTTTGAGCAATTAGGCATGGGGCTCCAGCAAGAGCCGGGTCGCACTTAGGCATTGGTATAATATTCCTACTATCTCTGTTTTCTACTTCGTATATTTTACTCCGTAATTTCTACTGGTTGTGTTTCTTTTGCTCTTTTTTCTTCTATTCATTTTTTTTTGTACTTTTCAAAAGAATAGCTTCGAAAGAGGGTTTTACAGAACACCTGTTTAAAAAAAGAAATTTGATTGGGGTACACACTTTTGTGTACACACTTTTTACGCATGTCTGTGTAAGGTTTTTTTTGTCTGTACAGACAAAAAAATATTAATTTTTTTTCGCCCCACCGATCAGGTGAACTTTCTATTAATTATTAATTTTATTAATTAAAAATATCTCAACAAAAAAATTATACTCCGTAATTATTTGATAAATCTGATTGTTTGATTTAATTCTATTTGATATAATAAGTTAATAACATGTTTGAACTAATTAATATGAAAAATCATAACTTTGTAAGAGAAGTTATTCAGCGAATGATTTGTACATATAAGTTTTTACCTTCCTAACTTGTATTATTCAAAAGTCTTTAAAAGCTCTTAATTGTATGTTTGATAAACTATTTATTAAGAGCTTTTAAAAAGTTGGAATTTGATCAATTCAGGACTTGAAAGATAAATGATTTATCAATCCGGGACTCGAAAGATGAGATGTGTCGATATTAGACCCGAATGATGGAAAACTATCAATCTAGAACCTAACATTTCATAGGTTTTGGTTTATTTAATTTTTTATTAAATCCATTGCTAATTTTTGATAAACTTTTCTTCACAAAAGTTTATTAATTTAATAAAAAATAAAATAAAATTCAAGACAACTTAGGTCCTAAATTGATAGTTTTCAATCATTCGGGTCCTAAATTGATAAATTTCTATCAGTCAGGTCATATATCGATGCAAATCATCTTTCAGTTCTCGGATTGATAATTTATCTATCTTTCAGGTCCTAGATCGATAAAATTCCTAAAAAGTTATAAATCTTTTTAGAAGCTATATTGGTAGCTTTCAGTATTAGTTAGACACAATAGATTGTTATATCAAAAAAACTAAGTCAAAACGTCAAATTTTATCAAACAATTATAACCTTTTTCTTAATCTGCTTCATAGTTGTGAAAAAAATCGCGGACGGCCGAACCTAGAGCCCTCTAGGTTTGCGTGAGGTTTCGGCAGTTTATTGGGTAAGGTTCCCGGTGGCGGCTATTTGGATCGCTAAGGGTACGAAGCAGGTATTGGGGAGTGTAGAGAGGAGCACAACTGCGGCATCGGCTGAAGATGGAATTCATGCCGGACAACAACGAAATGAAAATCATGAGGAAGGCCGAAGATCTGGAATCAGAAAATCTCATAGCTTGCTTGATGTGGCATGGAGAAGTCCAGATTCCGGTGATGGTGAAAGAAGACAAAGAGATGATGATTTGTCCCCCTCCCGAACCGCCGCCATGGAGGAACTGTGCGTCTAGGGTTTGAAAGACTATTTTACTATTTCTAGTTTGTTATTTTCGGTTCAGACTGTTTTACTGTTTCTATTTTGTTAGTTCTATGACAAACAATAAGGGGATAGGTTGGTGTTTTGGCTTGTTTTAGTTGATAGATTTCTGTTTGGAAGCAATTAAGCTGATTCAACTGCTAATAGCCTCTATGCTCTCACTGTTTCAGCGATTAGTCTCGCTCTTTCCGGGGGTGAACAACTCTATGTCTGATCATGACATGAGAGGGCCGACGAGCTTTTGGAATTGGTTGGATAGAGGGAGGTCGAGATTCTGGGGTATGGTTGTTGCTACATTTTGGTTGATTCTAGTATAAGCTATTTCTTTCCCAAAAAAACTTTTAAGAAGTCTTTAAAAGCTAACAGTCATCAAACGACTCATAATTAACAATAAGTAGCTCATAGTTAATTACTCCATTCATTCGACTAGAACGGGCTCGTAAAATTATTTTTCACGAACGAAAGAATGACATTTCATCTTTGAGGGATCCTCATCACTGGCCGGACAATTAAGTGAGATGATGTAAATTAGACTTTAATTACAACCTAACTGATAGCGAGTGAGGCTCTGCTTAGGTCATTACCCTAAACCCATTTTTACATAATAACATCTCATCGAATTGTCTGGATTCAAACTCGAAACTTGTCCTTGTTGCATTCCCTGTCTACTAGTTGAGTTACGCATGACGACATTTTTCTCACATGGAAGCCGGGGTGCTTGCCTCGATCCTCCTAAGTCCTCCACTGAACTTATATGCCTACCAATCACTTCTTTGTAAGTTTCATATTCAACATCCCAATTCCCAAAGAGTTAAACTTAGAATGTTAAAATCTTAGTCTAATTAAACTTAGATTGTTTTCACATAAATTAAACTTATCTAGTCTAATCTAGACCAATTTGTTAAAATCTGACTTGTTGACCAATCTAAACTGGTTTATAAAGTTCAATATTATTTCTATTTTAGTATTGCATAAATCTAGTTTAAATTAGTTTGTTACTCTGTTTAAATCCAGTCTTATGTTTTTATGTCTGATCATGTTTAATATGGTGTGGTATCCAAGAAAACGTAAAAAAATGACGTGAACATTTTGAGACATAAAAAATAAATACAATTACGACGAACTGTTTGATTTAAACATTATAGTCTCGAATAAAAATTATAACGTAGTAAATCATATGGGCTAACTCAATCCAAACCAACGATATTCTGACTCATTATTACTACTGTAGTGGTTGAGTGTGATTCTGAGAACGTCTCTTGATAGAATTGATCAAAATAGCAATGAACACTCCAAACATGTGTACACAGGCATGAACAGGGAGAGAAAATCACCGGCCAAACCAGCCTCGTGGTGGCTGGACATCCCCATCATTCAATAACTTGTCCAAAACCACATTCAAGTCCACTGCCTGGCCATTATCTGTCAACTTTCTGACTATTTCCCTCACCTGGTCTCTTGGAAATCCCATGAGTGTCACTTTGTCCACTACATAATCAACAGGAACCCTATATCCAGACCCAGTAGAACCTGCACTGCCAACAACAGGAGATGCAGTAGGAGGTGCTTGAGGCAATATCTTTGCTGTTGGAAGTTGGGTATAGCCACTTCCACCACTCTGGTGATTCATGGTCATCGGAAGTTGTGATTTGCTGGGTGACCCACTTCCGTACTCGGAAAATGAGCTACTATGTAGATAAGGTTCACCAGGTACAGATGACAGACCATACCCACCAGAAAATCCTGGACCAGGCCGGCTGGATGGTATCTCATATATGTTGTTAGGAGGAGCTCCATAGAACTGCTGTGACAAATCTCCACCAGATGGCATAGAAGGAGTTTTGTGGCTATTTGGTGGATAGCCCTGATGTGGTGGTATAAATGATGCTTCTTCAGTGTGATGCCCTAATGAGGGTTGAGGTTTAAGTTGAGGTGACTGAGATGGACTGGCAAAAGGAAAGGCAAGGTTTGATTGAGGAGGCTGAGAGTACTGAAGTTGAGGTGTTGATTGATACTGTGGTGGTGGTGCAGGGGGGATGGTTGGATCTGTTGAGATAAAGGCATCTGGTATAGCTGGCTTGGAATTTCAGGTGTTAGGCTAGGTGCAGGAGCATAAGATTCTCGAGGAGGAACTGGAGAAATTTGATTCAACTGATATTGTTGGTTTGGAAGTTGTGCCTGAGATGGCATATTCTGTTGTGGATGATGATGGGGTGGAGGAAAGGATTGTGATGGAAGTTGTGCAAGAGTAGAAGGAAAAGGTGATTGTTGATGATGAGATTGTTGTGGAGCAGATGCGGCCTGCAAAGATTCACTGGGATGGGTGCCATGGCCCCCTACCACCTGCTGCTCAACCTCAAGCTTTGCAGCAATCTGCGTCTTTGCTTCTACTATATCTTGTTTATCTCTGATCGCTTTAACTTCAGTATGCACCTGTAATCAATTATTAATTCTCAAATTCCGAGGTAGATCCATCTACAAATTCAAAAACAGTTGACCATATAATAAATCAACCCTTCTTCAACAGGCAAAAGCAAAAAAAGTTCAGGTGAGCAGGGGGGAGAGAGATATGTGCAGGTGAATGTGTGTGTCTATGAATGCTTATCGACTGTACCTCTCTCACAATATTTTCTAGGTGTCTCAATTTTCCATCAGTGCTCCCAAAATTGTCGCCAACAGCCAATTTTAGATCATCCATAGAACTTTCAATCTATCGTGTTCTTGTTTCTAATTATGATATTCGTGCACTCACACCTTCTAGAGCATGCATCAGGTTATCAGTATATTTCTTCAAAATGTGATCAATCTCAGATATCGAGGTTCAATCAAATCTATTCTCATTCTTCTCTACAATGACTTTAGCAGGTTCCATGGATTCGTGAATCGTGAGGTCCATATTTCTGAGTAAATAGAAACACATATATCATCACCCCATTAATGTATAAAAACTGTGATGCAGAACATTTAAAAAATGCTCATATCTAAAAAAGAAAGATGGTGCCCCTTAGTATAGAAGGTTCATGTGGATTGAGAAAGACGGGGAATGGGGGGAACAATTGTATCATTTGTTTAGCTCTTTTGATAGGGAGAAGCTATGAGAAGTTCATGGGTGGATGCTTTACATCCTTTCATTCTCCTCAACTACACTCAAATATCCTCCCCCCAAAATGGAGAAAAGTGGAGGGATAGGAAATTGGAAATGGCACTCTCAATCAAACCTAGAATCTTTTAAGAATTATACTTCACGTACATTTCCTTTTATAATCTAAACAAGAGAAAAACATAATCCTTAAGAACTCGACCTCTTCCTCTCCTTTACTAAACCTACCAATCCAAATAAAATTGATTACTTTCCTTTACTAACCTCCAATAACATCAATCTACACCCACCGAAAAAGTCTAAAACCTATCTTTGGAGGGAGAACACCAATTGTAATTAATGTTGAGTAGAATATATGATTCGGTGATACGGGATTGTGGGCACATAATAATATGGAGCAAACTTATTATAGTTAACTGGGACATTAAAAAGATGAAGGCATTTGTCACGGTTGTAATCATCACTAACACCAAAAAATACCATCACACAAGTGAAGCGTCCATGAAAATACAAATTCATAAGCACTAATAATAAATCACAAAGTTTGACTTGCAGTAGAGAAGTGACAAAAGTGGATCGGTTTTGTGAGTTCATAGTTATGAAATGTATTATTGTCAGTTTGCAGTTATTGTTTTTTGTTTCAAAAACTATTTTACTTGTCTTACAAACCTTGAAAATGTATTTTCCATCATTTTCAATGGAGCCAAAAGACTCGCATTCACTATTTTTTGTCTTGGGAATATGATGAAATAAAGCAAAATGACTCACTAAACTGTCTCCGCTTCTTGGTTATGAAGTAACAACACTCAGCCTATGCAATTTTCGACGCGATTTTCACTATGGGTCATTTGGAAACAATCTCTCTGTGCTTTAGTATAGGGGTAAGACTGCGTACATCCGACCCCCCTTACTCTACCGTAGGTGGGAGCCTTTGCGGCACTGGGGTGATGATGATAATGGTAATGACAAACCTTGAAAATGTATGCAAATAAAGCAAAAGTGGAATAATGCCGCTGATATCAAACCTCTCAAGTACAAATGATTGTGAGCCATATAAAATATGACCAAATACGGTATGGACAAACATTCAAAGACAGACCGAATTGGAAAAACTGGGCAAACGTAGTGGATGGAGGAAGTATATGATATTGGTTGTATAATTATCATGAACTAAAAATTAATTACACTTATACTAATCATTTTAATTTTGAAGAATGTCAAACTGAAAATTACTTCATAGGCTTGTTTTCAGAAAATAGAAAACATTGCTGAACGAGGCCTTAGGATTAAGCATTTAAGTGTCTAACCATCCGACATCAACAAGATCATTAGTTTCCATTATCAAACAATTGCGCTTAAAGTAATCAACAACAAAAAAAGCAAATCGGTAGGCAAGACAACGCATCAGGTAAACCCTAACAAGAGAGGATTCTGATTCTGCACCGACCGCATTTAATTTCCACAAGCACACAAACTAAGACAGAGGGTGAGTGAGAGAGATAATGCTTACACTGATGCTTGTTGTGCTAGTTTTAGAATCAGCGGAATTCCAAGCTTTAGGAGCACTAACATCGCTTGAACTAGCGTTAGGCAACGACTGTGGCGATGACACAACAGGGCGAATGGGATGGAATTCATAGCTCGGAACAATCTCCTCTTTCTTGGGGACAGTTGCGGTAAGATCCTGATCGGTGTTCACGAAATCGATAAAATCAACTTTGTTGTTCCCGGCGCTGAGCGAAGTCAATAGATCCATGATCTGCTTATCCATGAACTGCGACGTATTCATCGATTTGCGTATCCAGGAATTTTACTATGGGCAGGAAGTCCTAAAAGTATTTAAAAAGTTGAGGTAGCTAAAGAAATTGATGTTTTTAGAGATAGCCGGGTATTACTTACGCCCCACGTTGCTTTTCTTATGCACAGACAAAAAATGGTCCTCTCTCTCTCTCTAAATTTGTTCACCATATGCAAATTCATTCGGCTGGATGGCAAGACGCCGTTCCAAAATCTCCACGAAGTACCTAGAAGGCTAAAATAGTTGATGGGAACACAAGAGATAAGTATAGAGTATGGTGAAACTTGTAATGGAAAAATTGATTGTAATAATCCCAAATATTGGCGGTTCGCTCATAATAATCCCAACTATCGATTATTTCAGAATAATCCCAACTTTAGGGCCCTTCCGCCAATAATGATCCGAGGTGACCGACTATAAATAAATTCTTATAGTTTCTAAAGAGATATAGCAGGTAATCCCTATAAATAATCCCGAATTTTAATTTTTACGTTTAATTTCAATTAAAAATTCATTTGTTAGAGCAGGTAATATGCGGTCATGGACCAATATTGGTGGACGGTCCATATAGTTGGGATTATACAATAATAATCAATAGTTGGGATTATTGTTAGCAGATCGGCAATAATTGAGATTATTATTTTCAATTTTTCCTTTTGTAATTCAAATTTTTTGTTTTTGATAATCCAGGTGTCGGGGCTTACGCTCCCATAATCCTGGATTCTATGAACTACCCTCCAAAACCCCTAGACAGTTAAATCCGGATCTGATCATAGTCAGTCTCGTCAATACTGGCTCCAAAGGACGAATCCAACAGGACTTACATCACCTTTCAGGATGTTCCTCCCACCACACGAACCCGCTACCTTCATTATCATTCTCTCCCTTCTCAGCCGTTGAGCAACTCCGTGAAGGTAGGAAGAATCATTGGGGCAAGACCTCCCTCATCTCCCCTTGATGGGAATTGAACCCAAGACCTCCCACAACGGAAAGACTCGAGGGTGGATGGTCATCCATTGGGCTACACCCACCAACCCCTGAATTTTGTAATTCAAAATTATATGTGACAGTGTGGGGACTGATCTCAATCGGGATCAATGTCTAATCTAAATGCATCATGTATAAATGAGATGTGACAGTGTGAGACACTGATCTCGAACGTGATCATCGTCTAGTCTAAATGCATCATGTGCAATTGAATACTTGGAAGAATTTTCTTGTTGACGGTAGGTGGGGATATTATAGAAGAATTTCGCAGTAATTGCATTTCTTGTGATTCAATTCAATGCAATTCTGGTAAGGCGGGATTGTCTTCTCGAATATTAGACAAGCCTCAGTCTCGGTTAAGACTCGGGGTTCCATCCTAAAAGGTCAACATGATGGGAGGAGTAATTCAGATCTTAATATATCACCTAATGCTTTCACAAGTATCTGGTGTGGGAATTCAACAGTCTCGAACAACTCGACTACAAAAATAATAATAATTTGTCTGTTAAGATTTAATTATATCTTTGAAAGAAATATCGAATATCTAGGTTAACTTTAGTACAATATTTTCAATATTTTTGGTGGCATTTCTTCATTTGTTTGAAATTTAAAATGATCTATGATGGATTATAGGGATCCAAACTATATAATAATTGGAGAGATTTGACCTATGAAAGTGAAAAAGATAATAGAATAGTAGAAATGTGTGAATATCGGTTCTAGGGTTACAACTGGCTCCAAGAGGAGTATAAATAGAGAAATAAAGGGTTGGACCATTGATATGTGCCTGATATGCCCAACTACATAAAAGACTAATCTAGTACATAGAGATGATATATGAACAGTACAATAATACAAAAGACATTCGATAAGCATGTGTGGGCCGCTGTCCAGGCCCAATAGTAGTGAGACCCGGGGGTCCGAGTCTATATACTCTATCAAGAGTCCCTCACTCCCTGAGTTGAGAGTACTCGAGGTGAAAGGGAGTAGAACTGTGTGCTGATCTCTCACCTGATGAGTAAACTTCGTGAAAATTTTGAATTTTTGCTTCTTTTGTTAACGGAGGCGCTAAGTCTCCCGCTCTTCCAGTCCCCACTCCTTGAGGTGAATGTAGTGAGGTGAAGAGGAGTAGAATGGTGCATGTCTCGTGATGTCTTCAATAGGGGGGCGAGGGTCGACACCTTTTTTCCACGTTGGGGAGATGTCTCGTTAAAAACCTCATTAGGAAAAAACCTTGTGGGAAAAAATCCTAATGAGGGAAAAAGAGTACACACGATGCCCCCCAAAATGAAGCAAAAGGGGTGAACCCTTCGGCCTGGATGTGGAACTAAAACCGTCAGCATCTGCTAAGCGGATGGCCAAGATCGGTCCTCGTATGTGTGTAGCTCGGCATGATAGGTAGTCCTAGTCATCAAATAAAGATGACTAAGAGATAGGTTGAGTGACCGTCCATAATATGATGTCCGAGTCATCAAATAAAGTGACCGAGATGTGTGGCCGAGAGGCCTATAAGAAGTTCAAGCCATCAAATAAAGATGACCAAGAGAGACGGCTAAGTGGCTGGTATGAGAGCTCCACGTCATCAAATAAAGATGACAGGACGATGTATGGTCGAGGGGCCTGTATGAGAGCTCCATGTCATCAAATAAAGATGACGGGGCGATGTATGGCCGAGGACCTGTATGAGAGCTCCACGTCATCAAATAAAGATGACGAGGCGATGTATGGATGATGAGCCCGCAAATGAGCTTCACGTCATCAAATAAAGATGACGAAGCGATATATGGCCAATGGGCCCGTAAATGAGCTTCACGTCATCCAATAAAGATGACGGAGCGATATATGGCCGATGGGCCTGTAAATGAACTTCGCGTCATCAAATACAGATGACAGAGCGATATGTTGCCGATGGGCCCGTAAATGAGCTTCGCGTCATCAAATAAAGATGACAGAGCGATATATGGCCGATGGGCCCGTAAATGAACTTCGCGTCATCA